ATATTTGGAGAGGTATATAGTACCTCCGCGTGTGTAAAGTATACGTAATCTTTGGAGAGGTATATAGTACCTCCGCTTGTGTAAAGTATGCGTAATATTTGGAGAGGTATATAGTCCCTCCGCGTGTGTAAAGTATACGTAATCTTTGGAGAGGTATATAGTACCTCCGAGTGTGTAAAGTATACGTAATCTTTGTAGAGGTATATAGTACATCTGCGTGTGTAAAGTATACGTAATTTTTGGAGAGGTATATAGTACCTCCGCGTGTGTAAAGTATGTGTAATCTTTGGAGAGGTATATAGAACCTCCGCGTGTGTTAAGTATGCGTAATCTTTGGAGAGATATATAGTACCTCCGCGTGTGTAAAGTATATGTAATCTTTGGAGAGGTATATAGTACCTCCGCGCGTGTAAAGTATACGTAATCTTTGGAGAGGTATATAGTATCTCCGCGTGTGTAAAGTACGCGTAATATTCAGAGAGGGATATAGTACCTCCGCGTGTGTAAAGTATAAGTAATCTTTGGAGAGGTATATAGTACCTCCGCGGGTGTAAAGTATACGTAATCTTTGGAGAGGTATATAGTATCTCCGCGTGTGTAAAGTACGCGTAATATTCAGAGAGGGATATAGTACCTCCGCGTGTGTAAAGTATACGTAATCCTTGGAGAGGTATATAGTACCTCCGCGTGTGTAAAGTACGCGTAATATTCAGAGAGGTATATAGTACCTCCGCGTGTGTAAAGTATACGTAATCTTTGGAGAGGTATATAGTACCTCCGCGTGTGTAAAGTACGCGTAATATTCAGAGAGGCATATAGTACCTCCGCGTGTGTAAAGTATACGTGATCTTTGGAGAGGTATATAGTACCTCCGCGTGTGTAAAGTACGCGTCATCTTTGGAGAGGTATATAGTACATTCGCGTGTGTAAAGTATGCGTAATATTTTGAGAGGTATATAGTACCTCCGCATGTGTAAAGTATGCGTAATCTTTGGAGAGGTATATAGTACCTCCGCTTGTGTAAAGTATGCGTAATATTTGGAGAGGTATATAGTACCTCCGCGTGTGTTAAGTATGCGTAATAATTGGAGAGGTATATAGTACCTCCGCGTGTGTAAAGTAGTACCTCCGCGTGTGTAAAGTATGCGTACGTGCTGGAGGCGTTTTGTATGTGTAAAGTATGCATACATGTTGGGGGCGGTATGTTTGTCTGATGCCGACTTAAGAGTGCTACTTCCGTGAATTGCCATGCTAAATGATTTCAGCACAGCATTCACCCGGTCACATATCGTACCGATAGCGATGATTTTTAGGATAAAATAACAACTTTAAAACATTTTAGGGCTTTGGTGTGATTGTCTGCAGAAATCACCGTCTACATTAAAACCCCAAAATAATTTTACTTCTGAAAATTTTAACCTATCAATTTTTAACTATTTTGCTGTTTTTTTTCCCTTTTCCTTTTGAGGTACGTGTACAATGTATGATGCTAGTATTTCCCACCACCAAGCGTTTAAAACACGTGGTGGTCTCCTTTTTCTGTCACTCTTATAATAAGTAATGATCATGAAGACTTAAAGGTACAATTTAGCGAAGGACTTTTTTTAAATCAACTTACAAAATTCTTCATAGTTATATAGTTTGATACGACTTATATATGAATAATACATCTCGAGATATTGACAGGATATAGTGTTTTCTTGAAGTTCTTAACAGTAATGAAGACGTACTTAATTGTTAAACCGTGCGTTTTAGCGACAGGTTTCGGTGAACGTCCAGCTAACAAATGTGTCTTTCCAGTCGAGGAGAGAAGGTACCTTCTCGCTTTACTTACCAATACAAGTACCGGCATTTATTCAGAATCAATAATATCTTTCAAACAACATCTCAAGCATCGTTATAAATGAATGATTTATTTTATATATTTTTGTACTGATTATTAAAATCCTATTGTGAACAGAAATATGTCGTTAGATTTATATTATGATTCTTATAATTCTTGCGACAAAGGTTGTGTTTAGTGTGAAATCAGATTCACTGTCGGTTACTGTACATGTTTACTTCTCACAGAAAGGCCCGGATATTGCGCTATTTCAGTCTTAGCTTTATTTATCACCGACTTCCTCAAAAGATAAAACTGACCACACTGAACGTTGAGCTAAGGTCATGTCATTATCAACTACGTAAACTTTCGTTATCTTTATTTTCAGTATCTAATCGGGTGTTATTTGACTAAATAGCCCCTTTAAAGTGTTCAACACACTCCGCCCCCTACCAACCCCCGGATTCACGTCTGATGTCAGTCATATTTCTTGTACATGATCTACTGTCTCTTACAAGGTTTCTATATATTATCTCTCACAAACAGACAGACAGACCATTTTTGTCAGAATGTTTGTGGTCGATTTGGTATTGTACACATCTATACACTGTATGGGGAATAACTCCTATCACTTTGAACGGGTTTTTCCTGACGCAGTGAAATTTTGAGTGATGCTGAAATATATTTTGTGGTATTGGACATTTTTATAATTTTTCTGAAAAACAATTGTTCGAACTACCCATATGTTTCGTTCACAAACGATAACATGGAAGACACTTTGGAAAACAAGTATACATATTTAATAAAACTATGATAAACTAAAACCTTGTGTATACAATTAACATGATACAGATTTTTCTGGTTCGTATCATGTCCGGGCCTCGAACTCACGATCTTCGACACCAAATTGCATAGGGAGAAATTTACGTAGCTCTGCCTATTACACTGTCGATGCATATTTCTCTGAAAATAAGTCTTTGAAGTTGCAATGGTCTACAGCCTCATAATCTAGACGTAATGGAAAGATATACACTTTTTTTTTAAATTCTAATTTTGACGTTAAAATAAAAATCCATATCTCATACTGGTGTTAAATTTTACGACCGGAAAACATAACAAAACTTTACGGGATACTTCACAAATACAAAGCAGAAGAAAATGTAGGATTTTGCATGATCGCCCATTTAAGAAATATTAAATGTCAAAAATGTGTGACAAGACTATGAGAATAAATGCCATTTGTTCATTTTCGTTCTGTCTAATATCTTTATTTCTAATACATAATTACCAGAGCAGGACTTAATACCAAATGACTGAAGTGTTCTAGAGACGGTAGTATATCTGCCCTAAGGAGACTGTTAGTGAGAACGGACCTACAGAACGGGTAATTTGTTATTTTTTCAGTTAAAGGTTGTTTGTCCTCGATTTGTTAACATTTTGACCCCTTGGTAACCAGTTGGCTTATTGCATCAGGCGTGGGGACTCTTTACTGTGATCGGATTGTTGTTACTATCCAGATGTTCGATTACGATTTACGAAAAACATTACATTTTCAGAATACAAGAATTAATCGGAACAAATATAATGAAAGTAATGTAAATATAAATATAAACTATAAAAGTAAGGTATTTCGAAATCAATTGAGTAATGTTCATTCATAATACACGTAAATTTCATTGGAATGGCGCAGACCATATTTTGATTAAAGTTGACCAGAATTTTGCAAACGATACTCCGTTCACAGGTATTACATAGCAGGTGTGTTCAAACATAATAAAAGGTCGTATATACTACAGAGGTTCTTGTTCTCCTTGAAAGGGACTGTGTTGGCCATACACATCTTGTTTATATGTACAATTGTAACACGGTCATATACAGTCTGTTCTAAAAATAGCACCATTCCAGCAGAATGTCTTTATATTCCCAACTCTGTAGACTAAAAAAGGAAGAAAGAAACATCATCTCATATTCCTATCAAATATTAACAATACAAATGACTTTATAATTGTAGTGTTTCAAAAACTATTTAATGACAGATTTTCGGGATATATTCAAAATAATGGCCAGTTTACCCTGTTAGAAAATGTAAAATTTGCCAAATTTTGTCATTGTTTTCCTGTTTTGGTGACTTTACCAAAATTAAAACTTAAATTTATCATTTTTTTATGATTTTTTTTTTTGTATACAGCTGAAAATGAGTTTGTTGTGAATATTATTTTTTTTATCACAAGGGAGATAACTAAAATTGAATTACCTCCCTTATATATCAAGAGGTGACAATAATATCATAATATGTTACAGAGGACACCTAAATGTATATATGTGGAAAAAATGAAAAAAGATTATTGACCAGATTTTTTTACCAATAACACCCTGTTCCTCCTTAAAAGCTGCAAATTAATATACATAAAGTACACAATCAGTTTATCCAATCAGGGTTTAATAAAATTGACACCTCATCCAGAGGACGATTGTACTCTACATTTAAATATCGCTTTGGTTTAGAAGACTATTTGATACGTTTAAACGCAAAAAATAGGAAAATTATCTGCAAATTTAGAACTTCAAATATTAAGCTTCCAGTAGAAACAGGAAGATGGTGGGAAATCAAAGACAGGACAGAATATGCCCACTCTGTAATACTGGTATACTTGTAATAACGATACTTTAGTCAAAATAGGGGAAAAACACATTCCAGCCTATTTTTGTACAAGTCCAACCCAATATATAATGAAAGGAATGTTTCCAATTTTTAAAATGAAATTGTTATATATTTGTTCGAAAATTAACAAAAGTAATATTGTGTCTCTATTCTATAAGATTTTTTTCTGTTTGCTTGTGACATTTTATATACGTTGAACACTGAATTATTTGTATGTAGCTACACGTATGTATATAATTATGTACCATGCTATGATATAGAATGTCTGCCTGTCATGCACTCAAACTATGTTATATATACAAGACCTCTTGTTACACACCTTTATGTGTGTCTGAGTGAAATAAAAATCTTGAAAAATCTTGAAATCTTGTTATCAATGAAATTTCAAATGAAGACGTGACATCATAGACAACGAGAAGATATATATCCGTGTTCAGCTACTGTACGTGTATTACGACAACTTGTTCAAATAAGAATACGTGTACAGGTAAATTCATACCTGAGTTTGATAACCGTGACGCGGGTTGTCTGATTCCAGTTAGCTTTTACCTGGGGTTTTCAGTTTAATACGGGACTTATACAAACTACTACTCTGTTATCTGGATATCATTTGATAAAAAAAATATGTTTAAATATTTCTAGTTCTTCATTAGCCAAAAAGCCCTTAGCTAGGCTGATATAGGTACATATATATGCATATAACATTCTCTAAACATAATTAGAATAATATTTAAACCAACAGAGTGAAAAACTGAGATTGACATACAGCTGACACGGTGTTATGATAAGGAGTCAAACGGCGAGGTTCGATACGGATTAATATTGTATCCTAATTGTTAATATGAAGAGGGACTACCAGAATAAATTACTGTTCATGTGTGTGTGTGCTGCAACATGTTCCATGTATTTACTCGCAATGCTTCCATCTGTCGGTAAGTATACTACGACATTGTTTTTCTCCCTGACATTATTTTTTCTCGTCTGTGCTTTATTTGCCTCCATATTAAAAGATTGAAACAACGGTAAATTGAAATGGCGAGAAGTGGTAATGACCACAAAGACCTAGGAATTTGTTACAGCTATATTGGACCTAAGATATTCAGAGTAAGGACTTTCGGTAAAAATGACACCCCCAATGATCATGTTCTCGTATATATGATCATTGGGGGTGTCATTTTTACCGAAAGTCGATCTAAACCCCTAAAACATGTAAAATTACTCTGAGCACCTTAGTTTAGGTCCAAATATAGATGTAACAAATTCTCAGGTCCCTGTGGTAATGACTTGCCACGTCACCGCAGTAATTACAACTCTTATGAATTTTGAGTAAGTAATTGAACCTCTGTCCCTATATCTGGGTTTGCAAGTATGGAAGATTGTCTTCAAAATTTTAAAGATATCGATCAAGATCAGGCAATTCCAGATTTTGATTCCATCTTAATAGTGACATTGACTTGTGATTAAGCGCTAGATCAAAGAAATCCAATGTATGTCGATTTGTGATCTTCTCCAGCTGTAACACAAACAAGATCTCATCTCAAAAACGGGTAAAGGCAATTTAAACCTCAATGAATGAGTTAAATAGCGAAAACCACAAGATACAGTTTAGAGACAGCATAATTGTAACAAATCATTGGATATAGACAATATAACAAATCACTGGATATAGACAATGTAACAAATCACTGGATATAGACAATATAACAAATCACTGGATATAGACAATATAACAAATCACTGGATGTAGACAATATAACAAATCACTCGATATAGAAAATAAAACAAACCACTGGATATAGACAATGTAACAAATCACTGGATATAGACAATATAACAAAACACTGGATATAGACAAAAAACAAACCACTGAATAAACCCAAAGTAACAAATCGCTTAATATAGAAAATGTAATAAATCACTTATACATTGTAAAAAAATCACCAGATATAGACAATAAAAAAAATCTCGTGACGAAAATAATATAACAAATCACTAGAAAAAATAATATAATGAAATCATTGGATGTATATGTAGACAAAGTAATGAATCACCTGCTAGTTAAAACATTATAACTTAACTGATAAGGTAACGCATTAAACTACGAATGGTTATAACAACCGACCTATGTAACTGTATCTTAATCTCAAACTTACAAAAGACATTGGACAGAGACATTTAGTTCCAATTTAAAAAAAAATGTCATAAAATGAAAAACCACCCAGCCATTTTGCCAACGGATTTCGGGCCTACACAAACTCAGGAATTCGATATTCTTCGTCGCATAACATTTCGGTCTACTAGTATATCTTTCATGTAAATGACTGTCTCAACACTCGAATTGGTTGAACAAAAATAGTTTAGGTCGACTGGGGAATCCCGTGACTCGTCATCGTTATTGCACCTATCACTACCTGCCTGTATGTCTTTCAAAAACAGGCGACATCGGTGTTAAATGTAAAGCTTTATAAAAAAAATGTATTTTAACTCAATAAGAACACAACATGGATTTTAAATTAAAAAATAGTGAATCGGTTCGGTTAATTGCTTCCCATTAGTGGTTCGTATCGACACAACTGACATGAAGCTAGTTACGGAATACACGTATAAACATTGTCATTTAACCATCATACATCGTATTTTTTTCTATTAAAGGTTATATACTGTTTTTTATGTTTGCAATTTACTTTTTGATTGTTTTACATGCCTCAAGTGAGATACAAGGAAGATGGTTTGAACATAGAAATCATGCTTGAGCATGAGAACGGTTTCATGATCACGTGTCCAATGAAGGCTGAAAGCTGCTAGTTTTGTGGTCGGTCGTTAGATCATATTTTCCCAAATATATATATCTGTGAATAGTCTTCTTGTTTTGTCTATATTAACTATGAAAGGAAGACGTGACACCAGACTCGTCCCATTTTTTTTTATTTTTTATATATATAACAAAGAGCTGACATTTTAATTGGCGTATTAGATCAATAGTTATTATACCGGGGATCGTTATATAGACTATCTGGTACTGTGTAATACCGGGGATCGTTATATAGACTATCTGGTACTGTATAATACCGGGGATCGTGATATAGACTATCTGGTACTGTATTATACCAGGAATCGTTATATAGACTATCTGGTACTGTATAATACCGGGGATCGTTATATAGACTATCTGGTACCGTGTAATACCTGGGATCGTGATATAGACTATCTTGTTATGTGTAATACCGGGGATCGTTATATAGATTATCTGGTACCGTGTAATACCGGGGATCGTGATATAGACTATCTGGTACTGTATAATACCGGGGATCGTTATATAGACTATCTGGTACTGTATAATACCGGGAATCGTTATATAGACTATCTGGTACCGTGTAATACCGGGGATCGTGATATAGACTGTCTGGTTATGTGTAATACCGGGGATCGTGATATAGACTATTTGGTACTGTATAATACCGGGGATCGTGATATAGACTATCTGGTACTGTATTATACCGGGGATCGTTATATAGACTATCTGGTACCGTGTAATACCGGGGATCGTGATATAGACTGTCTGGTTATGTGTAATACCGGGGATCGTTATATAGACTATCTGGTACCGTGTAATACCGGGGATCGTGATATAGACTATCTGGTTATGTGTAATACCGGGGATCGTTATATAGACTATCTGGTACTGTATTATACCGGGGATCGTGATATAGACTATCTGGTACTGTATTATACCGGGGATCGTTATATAGCCTATCTGGTACTGTATAATACCGGGGATCGTTATATAAACTATCTGGTACTGTGTAATACCGGGGAGCGTTATATAGACTATCTGGTACTGTGTAATACCGGTGATCGTTATATAGACTATCTGGTACTGTGTAATACCGGTGATCGTTATATAGACTATCTGGTACTGTGTAATACCCGGGATCGTTATATAGACTATCTGGTACCGTGTAATTCCGGGGATCGTGATATAGACTATCTGGTTATGTGTAATAACGGGGATCGTTATATAGACTATCTGGTACAGTATAATACCGTGGATCGTGCTATAGACTATCTGGTACTGTATAATACCGGGGATCGTTAGATAGACTATCTGGTACTGTATTATACCGGGGATCGTTATATAGCCTATCTGGTACTGTATAATACCGGGGATCGTTATATAGACTATCTGGTACTTTATCACATGCCGATGCAATCTTACGATAGTAATACTCCATTTTGTCAGGTGTGTTTTCTGTCTGCTTGTATCACACATGTGCGATACAAGATCCTGTATCACCACAGTAGCCGGAACTACTTTTTAGGGGAATTCCCTCTACTGACACAGCTACAAATAGCCTGGTATTTGTATTCAACATAAACTTCCAAATATCGTCACAGTCGCGTACAACATCACATTCATCACCTCCAACGAAATACCAACGAATACTGCCAATTGTTGACTCAGATGATGAAGATTTTATCTAGATTTCTTGTGTTTTCCGACCTTGGCGTGTGACGTCACTCAGACTCAGAGCGTGCTGTGCCGTTGCGAGACTTTGGGAGAATTTGTAATGACCAACATTTAAACTTACATGAATACACATAACTTTCTGCCATTAAATGTGTGGCATTTTAATTATTCTTTGTTATTTTGTATTTAACCATTAATATTTAAAATGTTGTACACCCAAAGGTACAGTTCAGTCTCAAAAAGTCTCTTATCATTCACAGGGCCTGTAACCCATGCAATTACTTTTTTTAAGGCCATGCAATGATTTTTTTTTTAAGAATTTGTTTTCTATATCTCAGAATTATCAAAACAACACATTAATTATACAAATAATGTATTAAATAAAAATAAAAGAAATACATTATCATAAAAAAAACCAAGAGAATGCCGTTTTTTTTAATAAAACACAAGTTTCTTATAAAAAAAATCCTGGCATTGCGTCGACCTGTGTGATGATGGAAAACGACAAAAAGAGGAAAAACATAAAATGGACATTTAGTCATATCAGATAAAATTCCTAATTACCAAGGCTACAATAGGGTTAAGTCATGTGATAAAAGCATAACCACACATATGTGTGGTATTGCCTATGTATAATACCGGGAATCGTTATATAGACTATCTGGTACTGTATTATACCGGGGATCGTTATATAGATTATCTGGTACTGTGTAATACCGGGGATCGTGATATAGACTATCTGGTACTGTATTATACCGGGGATCGTTATATAGACTATCTGGTACTGTATTATACCGGGGATCGTTATATAGACTATCTGGTACCGTATAATACCGGGGATCGTTATATAGACTATCTGGTACTGTATTATTGAGTTTTGATTAAAGATGTCGCGAATTTCGAACTGATATAAATTACTTCTACAAGTATTTTTTTTCAACTTGGATTTCAATAATATGAAGTCAACTCGGCAATACAAAAGATATGCCGTTTTCAAACATTCCGGTATCACAACAACCAAGCTATCATTCCACTGACTCGGCCATTCGGAGAACCTACAATTAAGAACTATAATTTGTAATAATAAGTAACTAAACATGTTTTCTAAATTATACATGTGTATACCGATACACATTGATAGATTTAGTCACTTATCCATTTACTCAATTCAATTGCTGAGCAAAACTTGCACAATCGCATAAACTTTCCGGAAACTGCCACCCGGCAAACCGTCTTATATAATAGCCACTCCGTTAATGACCGCCATTTTTTAAATGAAGATGAGGTATCACCGAAAAGTATTTTTTGTCTGTATGTGTGCCACAATCTGTTCTATTTATATCCGTATTCTTGTGCTTTTTACATCTGTCGGTAAGTATACTATCCTTTTTTACTGTACTGCCTTACGTGGCGTAAAATCTGCAGGGGTCAAACTCAGGGCCTTTACACTCCCACGTGAACACTTTTTGTACCATCAGGCTACTGAGTTGCCATCACCCAGGAATAAATGATTCATGGGCAGTAAAATCCATGAAAATAACACATGAATATTGAAAGATGGAAAATAACTTTACAGGGGAAGTTCCTACTATATAAGCGAGAAAAACTCCTTTTGTTTACTTCATCTGATAGATCTAGTCTCAATTTCAAAAAATACTCTGAGTGGAAGTCTAGGCCTATATCGATTATAACCGATAGAAGAACCCTTCACCTTAACATTGATTTAGGTGACTGTTATGTAGATGTGTTTGATGTTAACGAGTCCACTAACTGATGATGATCCTGTCAAGTTAAATGCTCAATAGACGGACGAAGAGTTCCTAGTTACTTTGTTCAAATGATCATAGACATGATAACATGTATGTTTGTTTTTGGTGAACGTTTATGTGCCGGGAATTCGTAAATGACTTTTTAACTGTTTTTACAACAGCCTGTTCCTTTATGGATTGGGTAAATATAGCATTATTTTTATTTAATTTTTTGGTCATTTTTGGATATAAGGCACTTATAGCTGGGGACACAGCCTGTATCCGGTTGTAAAACTGAGGAAAAAAATCACTGTAACTTTTCCTTCTGAGCGATATCGCGGTGAATTTATGTTGCATGTAAATATATATTTTTTTCTTTCAAATACTGCATTAATGTATTAGTTTAGTTCAGTTTAGTTTATTTTCCGATACAATATCTATATATGATCCTGATTCCTCTCCACCGGACTCATAGCAAGTTTTGTTTTTAAATATTATATATATGTACTTTGGACGTCACAAGTTTAACAAGTTATGTTAGTTCTGTAATTATAAATAATTTCCTGATCAATCCACTGTTTATCGAGTCTGTTCTTATCACATCCTCTGGGAGACTGTTCCAGAATATATTCTATCAAGTGTGTCTCCAAATGGAAAATGGCAGTCGGATTTCTCTGACAAAGTATATATTCATAAAACTTGTATAATTACTAACAGAAGATGGAATCTGGATCGGCCGTCCGACCACACATTTATATGATTTGATCAAGTAGATACGCAAAACACACCATTTCATTGCAAACAAAAATGGATTGCTGTAGGCTGAGGCATAGTTTCAAAATCGTCACGTGACGTCATTAGCGCTTAAGGATAAGTCTTTTATTTAGCGAATCGGGCGTTAAGTCCCACACCCACAAACACACGTATTGATCAACCTGGACATTTGGAATGGACAATAATTATGTGAATAGCAAAGAAACATAACTGGCAGTGCAGAATACACACGTGTAAATTCAATAAATGAAATGTTGTTTTTAACGATTTGTTCCTTTAACGTCATGTGTATAAACTCCCAATAACCGTAATTAATCTTTAATGTCACAAAAATATTAAGTGAAAACCAACCCTTAATTCGAACTCCAAAATCGATGAATCTAGGGGAAAATGTCCATATATAAGATTGAAACAGAGACTATTTGAAAAAAAATAAAAAAAAATACAAGCATTTTTTTTATGGTGGATAATGGATCAATTCCCTTCTCCAAATTTTGGCATTATTTTCCCCTATTTCAGATGAAAATTCACCCACTTGCGACTATAATACTACCACATGAATATCTGTCTTGGTTCGATTTTGTTTTTATTTTCTGCCAGTTTCACGACTGTGTGATATATTGTCACTACTGATATTTTACGACACTGTTTACAGCTAGCCCTGTTTACAGTGATATTATCATAACAGTCACACACACGCTTATACTAATGCATATCCGGTGCGTCATGAAAAGCTAGAAACAAAAATTAAAGATGTCATCCATGCCCCCTCTCGTACCCTCCCCCTGGCTCTGGCCTGCAGCTCTCGCTGGTGGGTCATGCACATATAGTTTAGTGCATATTTCCACCTATTTCACCTGCGTTAATCCCTGTCAGATTTGTTCCGTACAGATGTAAACTCATGCGAGATCAAAGTAGTTTTACGTTCTCAATTTGCCCATATTCTCTATTTACCTACACCACTCAAAACCCCGTGCTGTTAGTTTCTTTATCGACATTCGACCTCTATCAAAATCACGAATATCAATTATGATCAGGTCAAGCCTGCGAATCTGGGGACAATGTTCATGTTCGGAAAATTGAAATAATCACACTAAGAAGTAATTATGAATATATATCATCAATCGCTATTTTGTTTGTCGTCATTTCGTCTTAGTTTATTGCTCTCAATTTCAGGAACAAGAAATGATGCTAATGGCGACCACAGGACCGACATCTTGGATCTAAGTGATACCATACAGCAGGCCTATCTCGCGAATCAGTCCGGTTCAACAAGTATAGCGTCTACCGTTAATGATTCGAGAGATCCGTACCGGTTCGAGCGCTACGAACCCGATACAGGATCACACGGTTAGTCTTTTTACACCTTAGGTCAAACAAAACATATATGGTGTTTCCGGTTATCCTACCTATCCTATTTTTTTGTGTGCCTACCCTAAAGTTTTTAAGTCAATTTTCAAAGAATTACTTTTTAAGTCAAGATCACTCTCCTATATAAAATACACAAAAGTATTTGTTAAAATAAAATTTGTTTTTCACCTTCCTATCCTTACTATTCCAACATGTTACAGGAAACGCATACATTTTTTGTCTGGCCTTACCGTTATATTGAGTTTTCATTGTTCAATTTTAACGTGACACCTACAACAGCTTTTGTTAAAAGGAAATCGGAGATGGGGCGAAAACAGGTAAGGCCAAAAAGATAAATATGTGTGTTTCCAGTTTCCCTACCGACCCTAGATTTTTGTGCTGACCCTTAAGTTTTTATTGGCATTAAGTGATAAGCACCGTTAAAGTCAGAACTCCTGCTCTATATAAGAAAATTGAAAATATTGAAAAAATGCCTACTTACCGACCCTAATATTTCAAGCAGAAACAGGAAATACACAATTGTTTTGGCCTTCATGTACATGTAAGTATCTCTAAAGAGAGCATTAATTGAAAAGAATATATACATTGGTTGGCTGAATTCACTCCCCCGGTTTTCCATCTCGTAAAATGGGGCTCGATTTTTTTCCTTGGTACGGGGATCCTTTAAAACCATACCCATATGGCCTCAGACCACAAATACACTTCCGAATGTAATGCATAAGGACATTTCAGGTCAGTTACTGAAAAAAATGTCCTGTCTGATCTATGACAGATATGTACGGTTTTTTTGTACATAGGGTTTTTAAGCAATATCTACTCTAGTGATTTAATGTTGGACACATTTTTCAAGTTTGTGTTCGCAGCAGGAGTCAGGACACAGTGAGTGATGAGGCTTGCGCATTGATATTTTGTAATTTTTGGTATTTTCCCCTATACATGCAGGGTAATGACATTCAAATGAAAATATTTTTCTTAAATGCCGGTCATGAGGTACTTTCAAGCTCACTGTAGGTTCAGTGTAAATAGATCTGCAATGTGAAATAGGAACCAGACCCTGCGCAAAGTTTTAAAATATTTTAATTTTGTTTTTTTCTTTGGTAATAACATAGAAGCATTAATTGTGGTCTGAGGCAATATAGCTGCAGTTACGGGAAAACAACACGGGTGCCGCCTTTAAGGATCCCCTCCCCGTACAGCTGTCAAAACTGTCACTACTAATTAGGAACTGGGTTTTTTGCGCATGACTATAGCCGTTATAATAAAGTTCTGAAAAGAAAACCCTACCTTGCGGGACTTCTATCGAATTATAATACATTGTAATGATGAAATCAACAAAATATAATCAGCAACAGTGTTCTGAGAGAAAACAGTCAGCGTGGCCTGGATCGTGATTTGAACCCTGGACTTCAGGTCCCAGTTCGCAACAGTTGGTTAGAGTTTACTAGTGGTAAGGGAAAATTAAAAAATATATATACATCAAAATCAAGACCATCTAATATAATCTTACTGCTATAGATTTTATCATTTGTGTTTTTGATGATTTAGTGTGCGTTGAAAGTCTTTTTTTATGGACAACAGTTATTTTTTAACTTGCTGGTTAAAGTTAAAGCAACATTAGAGCAACCGGGGTTAGATAGTTATACGTGTCCATTCTCTCTTACCGACTGAACTTCTCGGTCAACTGTGTTAGTGGACGATGTTACGTACCCAATTTACTGAAAATACTTCCTCTCTGCTAGATCTCATTCTTGTCAGCGTTACCCTTCTATATTAAATCAAACATTTGTTGGTGAATCGTTCCTAGACCAACCATTACGATATCACTGTCCTGTATTTGGAACTTTAATTTTACCAAAACAACAGCTAAATCCTTCAATAGTAAGGTATGGCTTTACAAACACGCTGATTCTGAAAAGTATAAAACGATGGTAATGAATACGGACTGGTCATTTCTTGACTCAAATGACATAGATGAATCATGTAAAAATCTGACAGACATATTAGAGAGAATTTCCCATGTCTGTATTCCAAATAAAACTGTTGTGGTTAAAAGTAGACTACATTGGATGTGTCACGACATTAAAAAGTTGATTTCAAAACGTAAAAAAATACATAAAAGGGCAAAACAGACGAATAGAGATTGTGACTGGTTAAAGTTTAGACATATACGCTATAAGTGTGTCAACCTAACTAGGCAGTCCAAAGACATGTATTTCAACAAACTGTGGCTAGAACTATCTGTCCCAAATCGTTCCAAGTCATGGTGGAAAATTCCTAACCAATTCATGAAAACAGACACAAAAAAATCCCACATCCCTGTCATTATTAGTGATGGAGTTATTACATGTACGATGACGATGCTGACAAGGCTAATATTTTCAATTCTTATTTTTCTAGCTAAGCTAAAGTTGATGATTCCGCTACCGTACTTCCGGAAGATAACTCGTGTATCTCTCCCAACAAACTTGGTCAAATTATAATAACAAGCGATGACGTCACAGATATACTGGTTAATCTGGATCCGTCCAAAGCAGTTGGACCCGACCTAGTTAGCCCCAAAGTCTTTAAAGAGAGACAGCCAATGTTCTTTTTAATACTCTTGCCTTCTTTTTTAATAAACGTCTTGCCATGTCTAAATTTCCGTCGTCATGGAAAATAGCTAACGTCATACCTGTTCAGAAAAAAGGAAAACGAGATGACGTCAAGAATTATCGTCCCATATCTCTAATAAGGGTCTTGGGAAAAGTATTTGAACGCTGCATATTTAAATATTTGTACAATTTTCTTCGTCAAAATAGCCTTATTACTAGCTGTCAATCAGGCTTCACACCCGGCGACTCTACTATAAACCAATTACTTAGTATATCTAACGACTTTGGTAAAGTTCTAGACTCAGGCAAAGATATTTCGAGCAGTATTCTGTAATATCAGCAAGGCTTTCGACCATGTCTGGCATCGAGGCCTTCTTTTCAAACTTAAAAAACTTGGCATATGTGGAAAGTTATTAACCTGGTTTGAAGATTATCTTCTTGACAGAAAACAAAGAGTTAATTTAAATAATTGCAGTTCTAATTGGGCATCTATTACTGCCGGGGTACCCCAAGGCTCTATCCTTGGACCTCTGCTCTTCTTGGTGTACATTTATGATATTGTGTATGATATTAAGTCCATAATAAAACTGTTTGCCGACGATACGTCACTGTATATGGTAGTAGACAATCCAATTACGACACATAACATTCTGGAATCGGACTTGGAAAAAATAAATGCATGGTCACGCCAGTGGCTTGTAGACTTTAACCCAAATAAATCCGAAACTATCCTCATAAGTAGGAAAAGAAACCCTCATAATCACCCTCTCTTACATATGAACCAAGTTCCTATAAATAACGTATCTTTCCATCGTCACCTAAACTTAACCTCATACGAACCTTAAAATTCCAGCTTGATAGAAATCCTTTACAATCAATATATTTTTCATTTATAAGACCTCTACTTGAGTATGGAGACATAGTGTGGGGTAACATACCGAATGAGTTGGGAAAGAAACTTGAAAACCTCAATATTGAAGCCGCTCGAATTGTAACAGGTGCAACTAAATTAGTAAGCTTTGACAAACTTTTCAATGAATCAGCTTGGGTCAGTTTATTCGATCGGAGGCAAAATCATAAAATTATCCAGTTCCATAAAATGTTCTACATGTACACAAATGTATCAATATACACCTGAATATTTATATAGCCTTATCCCAAGTACTGTATCGGAAGGGCATCGATATGATACCAGAAACTCCGACCATACCTTTATTACTCCAATATTGAGCAAAACTTCCTTTTATAAGCAGTCTTTTCTACCTTCTGTTATAGACCAATGGAATAGTCTTCCACAAAATGTACGATCAAATCTGTCTACTTCTGCTTTAAAATCTTATCTTGACAAGCAACATACTAAGAAAACGCCTATCTATTACAACCTTGGTACCCGCAAGGGCCAAATATATCACGCACGACTACGAATGGAGTGTAGTTCCTTAAATGGTCATATATTTGCTAAAAATATTGCTCCATCTCCATTATGCATGTGTGGTGAAGTCGCAATCTGATTAAAATCATCTGTTACATGGCTTCGTTAACTTCGTACTACGCCTGAACCATGTAACAGATGATTTTAATCAGATTGGTGAAGTCGAAGACAAGAATTGGAATGTAACAGGTACGATCAAATAAGAAGGCGCTACCTACAATGTTTGCCCCATAATATTACTTTGGAGTTATTATTATTTGGAGATGATTCGTTTACATTGGCTGAAAATAAGTTAATATTTCTAGCTGTACAGAATTATATACTTAAAACCGGCAGATTTTCTAAAACTGAATAATATGACATGTAAACTTGTACAATATATATCTTACCCCAACCACCTTACTCTAAGGAAGTTTAAACTATCGTATTATCCATTAATTATTGGTATATATATATGCGTGTGATGTGTGTATGAATGGCGTTACATGTACATGTATCATGTACTGAATATATTAGTTGCTGTTTAGTATACTTGGTGATAGGTTTACATACGTGTCTGTGACACTTGTTCCAATTTCCCTTTGTCTTCTCTGTTCATTGTAATTTATAATAACATGCTTGAACTGAAATAAAAGAAAGTTTAAACTAACTGTGTTACAGTTATATTCAAAACGAAGTAAAAGGGACATTTTAGTGAAGTTAGTTTTTTTAATTAACTGAAAATCAAGTCGATACTGAAAATATATATCTCCTAACGAAAGTTTACGTAGTTGATAACGACATGACCTGAAGCCAACGTCCAGCGTGGTCAGTTTCATCTTTTGGGAAAGCCGGTGATAAAAATAGCTACGACCGAAATAGCGCAATATCCGGGCCTTTTAGTAAGAAGTAAACATTTACAGCACTACGCTGTCGACCGACAACAACAGTCACACATAACACATTCTTGAATTTACACAATACATCACAAGTAAGAATTATAAATATCATAATATATACCTCGAATCTGATATTTCTGTTCACATTTGGATTTGAATAAGAGCGAACAGGTTCAATTAGAGCATAGGTGGTGGGCACGTCTATCAAAAAATAAATAAATGAATATATAAAACTAGAAAGGTGAGGAACTCAGCCCCTACCAGCGGCTGGCAAAATTGAGGTAATTTTGTTTGAAGTGTCACAGAAATTTTATCCGCTAAAATCCTTCCCACAGCGTAGTCTCGATCGAAAGTAGGGACATTAATCTTTAAATAACACCCATTATATATCTTCAAAACAGTGTAGTTATTTCGTAAGCAGTTTCGAAGCTCGCGAAAATCACCGATTTGTGTTACCTCGGACACGATCCGGAACATTTTTTCGAAACAAATTCTTCATTCGGTACACAGAATAGCGGACGACGTAACATTAATAAACCATTGTATACTCAAAGATAAGGTCAAAACAAACTTGCTTACTTGTTTTACGCACCACTAAATTTCTCCTCTCGTGTCCCTCAAGTATTTTCTCCGCAAGATTTCACAT